AAGCTTAAATGAGGCAAGAATGAGGAATTCATAAAGCCACGTTATCTTCTCTGTATGCCTCAGGAGTTTGTGATTGTTATAACTATCAAGGAAGCTGCACAGGTAACAAATGAAGTGTTTGTATTTAACACAGCACATATTTCTCTTGGGTATCATCTCTAATGACATTGGACATAGTTGACAGGATAAACTGTGATTCAGCTTTCAAAAATTTAACATAGGACTTCCTATGTTCAGGATGTGAAGAAGTTCCCTTGAGTTCTTTAGGAGGTTGAAATACAGTATTACATTACAATCTTAGCGACTCTGAGCCAAGCAGTCAAGCCTTAATTGTATCCACAAGTACTCATGGATGCAAGCTGTGAAATAAAAGCTTGAATATCTGCTTCAGTTTAATTCTTTTAATAATGACTGACCCAATTCTTGAATTACTTATCATGTTTTAATATATTGAAATATTGTGCAGTACTTCAGTGGAATAGCAGAATAGCAAGGTGAATATTTTTTTGATTTTCATAAAAATTTGAAGATTTTGAAGAGAATGTAAATAGAAAATGTCAAAAATTTCAAATCTCAAGTGCAACCTTTTTCTTTTCATGAGAGAGAGAGAGCAGAAGCTGACATGCTTGAAGGATTTTAAATGCTTGCAAGCATAATGGAGAAGATAAATCCTCAAAAAGAATTCTGTAATGGGTCGTATCTCTTTATGTATGGTACCTGCCTGTTGTGACGGTTTGTTTACAGCCGTCTGTATAAGTCTCATACAGATTTTTAAAAAATTTGCATTAAAACTAATCCAGCCTCAGAAATTCTTAACAAAACATTATTACAATTGTACTGGAAGTAGATTACCATCTTGCAAATAAAGTATTATTGTTGCTTATCCACAATCTGTGAAATGTTCTTCTGTAATAAAGGAACCTTCTTGCCATACCTGAAGGACTGTTACAAGAGCATTTTTCAGTGACATAGCAGTTGAGTCTTCATTAGTCATACTCACAAAAAAACCCAAGATTGTTGTATGGCTTACACTCATAACCTGCATCAAACTGAAACAATAGTAGGCATGAAAAATGAGTAATGTAAGACTTAATAAAGGGGTACAGAATGCTCTAAAACAAATGCTATGAAAAATGTCTTAAAAGAGCAGTAGCACAGGTACTACAGATAATAATTCATAAACAACAAAAAAAGCTGTAGCACTGCCAGAAATAACAAAGCAACAAAGTCTTCAGGTCTGGATTGGATCTGAAGTTCATAAATAGTTTCAACATGATGGTTCATTCCATTAGAAAGAAGGAAAGTTAGAAAGATGAAAGTTCAGATATGAATGGAGATTATATGCTCCCCATATGTTTCAAAAAATATTATTAAAATAGCCCCTTGACTCAGAAATTGAACTATCAATACAATGAATAACATAATTGTATATATCTGTTCCCAATAGCTGCAACTCACAACTGGAGGGCTGCAATGGATGGCTTTTTTTCCGAAAGGATAGGAAAGGAAGGAAATGTAAGGAATGAGGAGCGGTGGGGTGGCTTTGTATGTTAGGAAGTGTTTTGGTTGTGTAGAGCTCAACAATTGTGATGACAAGGTTGAGTGCTTATGAGTAAGGAAAAGAGGGAAGTCTAACGAGGCTGATATCCTGCTGGGAGTCTGTTACAGACCACCCAACCAGGATGAAGAGGCAGATGAAGCATTCTACAGGCAGCTAGGAAACATATCACAATCACTAGCCCTTGTTCCTGTGGGGGACTTCAACTTACCAGATGTCTGCTGGAAATACAACACAGCAGAGAGGAAACAGTCTAGGAGGTTCCTGGAGTGTGTGGAAGACAACTTCCTGACGCAGCTGGTAAGTGAGAATAGCAGGGGAGGTGCCTCACTTGACTTGCTGTTCACAATACAGAGAAGGACTGGTGGGAGATGTGGTGGTTGGAGGCCAGCTTGAGCTTAGCGACCATGAAATGATAGCATTTTTGATTCTTGGTGATGTAAGGAGGGAGGTTAGCAAAACCACCACCATGGACTTCCGGAGGGCAGACTTTGGCCTGTTCAGGACACAGGTAGAGAGAATACCTTGGGAGACAGCCCTGAAGGTCAGAGAGGTTCAGGAAGAGTGGACTTTCTTTAAGAAAGAAGTCTTAAAGGCACAGGAGCAGACTGTCCCCATGTGCTGTAAGACGACCGGCTTGGCTGAACAGGAAGCTTTGGCTTGAACTCAGGAAAAAATGAGAGTATATCACTTTTGGAAAAAGGGGCAGGCAACACAAGAAGAGTACAGGGATCTTGTTAGGTCATGCAGAGAGAAAATTAGGAAAGCAAAAGCCCAGCTAGAACTCAATATGGCCACTGTTGTAAAAGATAACAAAACAAAATGTTTTTACAAGTGCATTAACAACAAAAAGAGAGCCAAGGAGAATCTCCACCCTTTAATGGATGTGGTGGGGAACATTGCCACCAAGGATGAAGAAAAGGCTGAGGTACTTAATGCCGCCTTTGCTTCAGTCATTAATAGTCAGACTAGCTATCCTCAAAGTATCCAGCCCCCTGAGCTGGAAGACAGGGACAGAGAACAGAATAAACCCCCTGTAATCCAAGAGGAAGCAGTTAATGCCTGCTATGCCACCTGGACACACACAGATGCTCAGTTTTGGGGCAAGTTCTGCTTAACATCTTTATCAATGATCTGGATGAGGGGATTGAGTGCTCCCTCAGTAAATTTGCAGATGACACTAAGTTGGGAGGGAGTGTTAATCTGCTCCACAGTAGGAAGGCTCTGCAGAGGGACCTGGACAGGCTGAATCAATGGGCTGAGGCCAACTGTATGAGGTTCAACAAGGCCAAGTGCCAGGTCCTGCACTTCGGTCACAATAACCCCATGCAGCGCTACAGGCTTGGGGATGAGTGGCTGGAAAGCTGCCAGGCAGAAAAGGACCTGGGGGTGTTGGTGGACAGCAGGATGACCATGAGCCAGCAATGTGCCCTTGCGGCCAAGAAGGCCAATGGCATCCTGGCCTGCATCAGGAATAGTGTGGCCAGCAGGGGTAGGGGAGTGATCCTTCCCCTGCACTCAGTGGTGAGGCCACTCCTCGAATCCTATGATCAGTTTTGTGCCCCTCACTACAAAAAAGGACATTAAAATGCTGCAGCCTGTCCAGAGAAGGGCAACAAAGCTGGTGAAGAGTCAGGAAAACAAGTCTTACGAGGAGCAGCTGAGGAAGCTGGGATTATTTAGGTTGGAGGAGACTGAGGGGAGACTTTATCACCTCCTGCAACTACCTGAATGGAGGTTGTAGAGCAGTGGGTGTTGGTCACTTCTCCCATGTAAGAAGTGACAGGACTAGAGGAAATGGCCTCAAGTTGCACTGGGGGCGGTTTAGATTGGATATTAGGAAAAATACTGAAAGAGTCGTCAAGCAGTGGAACAGGCTGCCCAGGAAGGTGGTGGAGTCACCATCCCTGGAGGTGTTTAAGAAGCGCGTGGGTGGCCCCTTCCTTCCCCTTTCCTCCTCTCCGCAGGAGCGAGCGCAGCAGACGCCCACCCAGACTGACAGTGGCGACGGCGACAGGGACAGAAAGTCAGCGGCGCGGAGCGAAGCGCCCCGCTTGCGGCGGTGGCAGTTGGCGGATGGAGCGGCGGTGATTGGTTGCGGGGCGGGGGCGGTGCACGGCTAACGGCTGTCGAGGTGCCTGGGTACCGCGTTGTAACCGGGAGCGAGGGGAAGGTGTGGGCGGAGGCAGAGGCGCGGTAGGCTGGAGCGCCGCTCCGCACCCCCCTCCTCATACCTTGTCTCGGGTCAGGGGACGTCGGTGTAGTCGTTGTACTGGGACACACGGTCTCCGTGCAAGTCCCAAGGCCAGTACCCAAGGTAGAGGATAAGGCGTGTTTGGGGATTTCTCATAAAAGATGGCAGGTACATCAGAGAAGCAGTACAGCTAGGCAAGTGGAGCCCCATAATGTATAATAATACTGCATGTACACCTTCTAAATAGACTCCAGTGGAGGGATAACTGGTGAGGAGTCTGTAGACCATGGCCAAAATGAAGCAACATGTCTTTAAAAAAAAGCAAATTTTATTACGTGAAATAATAATGGGGAGTGATAAGGGCAGAGATCCACGTTGGAATTGCTCCTGCACATGTGAATGGTAACAAGTGGAAGGAGACAAACTGCCATTGCTGCATAGGACCAGTGGAAAAGCAAAGCTGCCAGGAAAGGGCTACTGCAACCTACCAATTCTTACAAATGTGGTACTGTCTTGATTAAATGTATGTTTGAAATTGGTCACCATAAAACAGACCAAGAAATCATGACAGCAGCAATAACAGAGCAGTGACGATGATAAGCAGTTACGCAGAAGAAAATGCAAATTCCAGTTCAGGGGGGATGCAGACTGGCAGAATAAGCAAGTACACAGTCACCTTTAGTTAAAAATAGTGTTTCTACCACGGGAGCTTGGTATGAAAATACTTGATGGCATTGATCAAGTACACTCCACAGCAGTAATGATTCCCACATAGAAAAGGGCATGAGATGTGAACTGGGATGGAGAGGACATTTTTGTCACTGTCTCATGTAGATTGTAATGAGCAGCTGAGACTGCATTTGTGTTCTGATCAGCATCACTTTGGACTGAATCACTTGCCAGTGAATATAGATGCTAGTTAAGGTATGGAACAATTTTTTTTTTCAGATTAAGCCATTAAATATTAGTTTCATTGTTTAACAAACTCATACCTAGAACATGCAGAAAGACTGAATTGTCTCTTTAAGAAATTAATAGTTGTATACTTTTTACAGCAAAGAGAATTGAAGCATGGTAGACATTTCAGCAAAGTACATTAATACTATGTATTTAATACACAGGGATGACATTCACATTGTTGACTTGTGTAATCATAAACAAAAGTACAAAGGAAGGTCAAAATGGTAAGTAAGTTGTACAGTCAGTTTATCAAACTACTGAACAATGGGAATTGCCCTATTCTGTTTTTTAAGAGAACTTCTTCATGAAGTGCAGTTTCAGGTATGCAATGGTAAGGAATATTACTGTCATGCAGGTGAGAGCCAGGTGATTCTGCCACAGGCCCCAGGTACTTGCATCAATGCCTTGACTTTTCAGATACGCATCTCCAGTACACCCCCTACAGATAAATACAAACACATTTATAAACTTAGGCAGTTTGAAGTATCTAGGAGGATCCTCAGAACTTTTAGTTTGATTTCGTGTCTATAGCAGTCCAAGCAAACACCAGCTCTATGTTACTATTTTATTTTCTATTTGCAAGTTTGTTTTTCTTGTAGCTACAGTTAGTTTCCTGTAAGAAGCTGAAATTGATTTTGTGAGGCTGTATGACTGTAGTGTGTGTGTTTCAGTAAATGCAGCTTAGAGAAAAATGAGAAGCATAATGCCAGATATAGTGTTACAAATATCAAGTATCTCACAAACAGTCTAATACTCAAGGACTTTTTAAGTTACTGATGGTGGGTTTCATTTTAATGTACCAAAATACTTACAGCTGGCTTGTCTGTCGATAGTTGCTGGTTAAATCTGTGTTGTTCCCACTGCCACAAAAGTTCAGACCAGTCAATTCATTGATTTCTAATGCCTTTTTAAAATAAAAGAAACAATGATAACAGAAATTAATAGGTAAAAGAATGATACATTAACAAGATGAGACATAATGAAATTAAAATTTATTCTAACAACCTGATAGTATCACTCTTTATTATGTTGGCCAAATCTCCATTTTTTAATTGAGCAGCATGCTTTTAAGAGAGGAATGTATGCAGTCCACATCACATAACACACTTACGTCACCAGGCTTTAATATCTCCCCCAGGCTGGACTATTTCTGCACAGACACATTAAACCCCAAATTTCTCTGTGAAACACACCCTGGCTTAAAATATAAAAAATTAGGAGAAAAGTTTCAGCTTGACAAGTTTCTGTTTGTTTGACGGCAAAGAGAAGAATTGTTTTTTAGGGATAACATTGTTCTTTATTCTGCATCGGTTTTGTCCAGTTGTATCAGAGTGGGTGTAGTTGTTTAGTGTCTTTTTCATACAAGGTGTTACAGAAATTAGCTCTTCTAAACAGCAGTGGGTGCTGGTTGGTGAGAGGCCTTTCTTTTTTCAAGATACTGCACTATGTTCTGCACTATTTAATTAGCTTACCTTTTGCTCATTAACCCATGAAGTTGGAGTTTTCTTTAGCATAAGTAAAGATACTCCTTTCTAGCAAATCTTTTCCAGTCTGTATGCAGGAAAATACAGCACTTACTGCCAATCCATATCGAGGGATGCTGAAGTATTTGAGCCAGGAAAGCCAGGACATGACGCTTGTGAGATTGACCAGCAACCCAGAGAAAATCTAGAGGCAAGAAATAATAAAACAACAACAAAAACTACAAAACAAATTACAAATTATGTGCTGTTACTATGGGTTCTTCTCCAGCTCTCAACTCTGCTTCAGATTAAAAAGAAGTGGGAAAGCATTTCTAGAGAAAGAAACTCTTCCAGTGGAAGAACAGGGGAGATGGGAGGAGCAATTTCTGTTACCCAGCTTTGGGCCATAATCTCATGTGGTCTTTCTAAAATGAGCAATGGGGAATGCTTCCACCCTTCCACCGTGGTTTAAACCCAGATGCTTCCTGTCTGCAGGTCCCACATCAGTTCATGTGAACTGTCTGCTGTTAATCAGGTGCGTGGAGCTGCTGGAAGTGTGCACTTGGTTTTGTCTGTGTGCCTTGAGCCTGAGAAAACCCATGGGTTTTTTGGCTGTTGTTCAGCCCTGCCTTATTGTTTATGGTGCCTGTCTTATAAGTGTAGCTGTGTGGCTCTGCAGCTAAGGAGGGCAACTACAGCAGTGGTCTCAAGAGTGCCGGAGGCTGCGGGTCACATTCCCAGCTAGCCAAATTTGTCTTTGGCAAAGCTAAAAGAGAGTGAATGAAATGTAGCTCTAGGCCACCGTTCTGCTTTCCAGGCAATACACCCAGCTGCCAGAGCCACAGAGAAGAGGGTAGAGGGGCCACTCTCTCTCCCCCATGCACCCAGGCCCCTAGCCCCTAGGTTCTTGTTAGTTTAAAGGACAGAATATTTAACACCACAGTATCAGAATATTCAAATCGGGCAAATCAGTATATTTGACATGATCAACCCCACAGTCTTTTTGCAGAATTTAGATGAACTCTGTGCTGCTAGGATTTTGAGATTTCGGCAGCTCTAGGTAATCAGGATTCAGTCCAGAAAACTGAATAATGCTACTCACAATCATAAAAACAAATGTGATAGTCATGAGCAGGTTTGCTACAGCGACCACACTCTGTCCTGCTGCAATGGCTAGTGCCATAGAAGTGGCTGTGTAGGACACCATCATAAGGGTAAACATCATTGTAAAGAAGGCTTCTACTGTTGGTTTCAAACCTTAAAGATGAGAACAAGAAGCGTTTCAGTATGATCCTGCCAAAAACTACTATAGCCTGAACACTATCCTGATTTAGTGCATCCTGCCTACAGAATACCAGTTGTCTGACAGCAGAGGCTATGTCACTGAGACCCAAGACTGCAGTGAGGCTTGTGACAGCCCCTATACACATATATTTACACACCATGTCAACAAAGGGCAGAATGAGTGAGGAGTATGCCTGTAACTGCAGTAACACTAGAGATAGTTCACAGAAGAATGGGTAGAAGTTACAGTACTGTACTCCACATGGTCCAAGGTGAAGGCTTCACTGCTGCTTCAAGATGTCTAACAAAGGTGAAATTTTTAGTGTGCCTCCATGAGCAACAGTTGTACAACATTGCACTTGTTTCAATTAGAGAGCTCTCCAATGGATCTAGTGGCCTTTGGATGGCTATGGATTTGGTATTAAGGTTTATCTCACCCCAGTTTCACAGTCTGAGAGCTTCTTGCTGATGTAGCCTTGTTTCCTATTCCTTAGGGAAAAAAAACCTCTTTGATGATTTTTAAATTTTGTTTGCACTTTCAAGCTGTTGAGACATGCCAAAAGGATTTCATGGTCTGAAATCTTACCCTAGGAAAATGGTCTGCTTGAGACCTGTTTTGAAGGTGTTCTAGTGTTGTAAAAGTTATTGCCAGCAATTTTCTAAGTCTGACTTAGCCAGAAGGCATTTCACCACAAATTACATGCTGATATTAATTCACACAATATTAATTTGTTAAAACTTTTCCTTTGATAGGTGTTCTTGCAATGATGGAAAAAGTATCTTGTAAAAGTCACTGGAAGCTAAGATAGCCATAAATGAAAAGGAATAAATCAAATCTATAATGGCTGTGACACACTTCCTTCTAGGGTTGGTGGAGATGAGACATCTCACAAATTCTGACATGAATGCTTAAATCTGTGAAAGCGTCTCTTTTCTGGAAACAGCATGGTATGCTAAAAGCAAGCACAGTGACCAGTGCCATGCTAATGTAGTGCTTTAGCCTGTACAAATACACATGTATACATGCACATACATAAAATGCGTTGTCGTGTTGGTTTATTGAGGGGATTGTAATGGAACTGTAGGAGACCATACTTGCCTAACATGAAGTAAACTATACAGGTGAAGATGATGCTTGGTATAGTTCTGATGGGTATTAAATCAGCCATTAGCTTTGAGATGAAATATGCAGATGTTCTGTAGTACCCACTGATATATTCGTGTCTGGAACACAGATATATACAGCATATTACAATTTAATCGCTAAAAGCAATAATCATCTTTTCACCTGGAGACAAATGAATTCTAGAAAACTGGAAAACAAAAAGAGTTCTTTCATGATTAGGCTGTAATGCAACTGTCCAGTAAGCCATTCCCTGCAGTAATGGTGGCATTTTTGTGTGCAGATGAATATGGATACTTGGGCATATAATTTTTAGTGAATGTATGTGTCGTCAAAACAGAGAGGGAGGGTAAAACTTAAATAATTTTCATTTTCTGTACAGTGTAATTTGCATAGCTTTAAGAATCTAGTTAGGCAGTATTTATTGTCCTCACTAGCAAGTCACAGACTTATTAATCAATACCTAAACTGAGTATTCAGGGTTTTTTTCCTACATATGTTAACAATTTTAAACTCTGAGCCATTTGGAATCATAGATACCATTTGGGAGATTTGCAGACAACTCATTAACAGGCTAAGAGAATACATTTGCAATGAGCACTAACAGTAAAATAATCTGAAAAATCTGCACTAGGTGTACTTAAATGGCATTTAGCTACAGCAGGAAGATAAGCAAACAAACTTTCTGACAGTAGTCCCTGTTAACCTTTTTGAATGTTTTACTTACATGAATATTTTTTTTTCCACAACGAAGAGTTCAATAGCCGAGATGCTGCTGAAACACTGGTTAGTGGTCAGAAAGAACATTGCACCCACTCTACAAAAAGCAAAAAGGCAAGCTGTTATTAAAACTGTGATGTAAATGTAGTGTTTCCACTACAGCATCCGTAAACTCAACAGTAGTGTGTGGAGCTCGGCAGTATGTGATCTCCCATCCTGAATTCCATAGGAAAAGGCTTGGATACAAGTCTGAGTCCCTAATGAGCCTGAAATAGATGCGGTACAGACAGTATTTGCTACTTGCATGCAAGGACAGTATGTTCTCCGATGCAGTCAAAGGGTAGAAAATGAACTGATTTTCCATATTATTTTCCTGACACTTTAAAAATTCTTGGTCTGATGCAAACTGTGAGGAACTGAATAAACAATGTGAAGTTTTCACCTTTCCCATAAAATTTAAGGCTTTGCTTGCACACTTTCATACCTTATTTAAAACTGGGCCATTTAAAAGGAAATGCTATGAAGTGTTTCATGACTAAAAACCCAGAGCTTTCTTAGTGGCAGACCCATTTGTCAGGCCATGTACATATAGCTGCCAAAACAATGCATAGACCAAAATAATTTTAAAATCTAGCTTTAGATGCACCTGGCTTACTGCTGGTAAACTCAAGTGTGTATATAGAAGCAGCTGCAAGACCAAAGCTTTAGCTACCTAGGTTTATGTAGCCAAGTCTGTGTATTTTAAAGTTCAATCTTTTTGTCTTGGGGAAATCTTTTCAGAAGAGAAGTTAAAATGCTGCCATGCTGAATGAAGCCTTTTTAATATGATCTCTGCTGTTCAGTATATTCAGCAACCTGTATTTCAGGCGCTGAAAAAAGTCACCATACAGAAGTAGCATTACTCACTTCATTTGGACTGCTTGACAGAGCAGAACTGCATCCCCTATCAGTTCTGCAGGGACCTTCCTAGAGGCAGGAGAACCTTGAAATCACTAATGTAGGCTTATCTACTGGTGTGAAGGCAAGCATTTGCTTTAAAGAGGTAGATATATTTTATAAAGAGTTTGCAGGTTCCTTCCCAGCCTCCAAGTTGTTCATTATCATATCTCAAAAATGAGGGAGCTTTATCAAATTTTTGGATATCCAGTATCTAAACTGACTAACCTGTTCTGTAGTCCAGAAGAGTCCTCTTTAAGTCCAAAGAAAATGGCACCTACAATCAGTCCCAGGAGAGCTGTAACACACACCTATATGTAAAAAAGAAAATAAGAGGAAAAGTATTATTCACGTTGCTTTCAAAGCTTCAGTTTTGTTTTTCTTTAATATGTAGTGGGTCAGTGTAGATTGCCAGGAAGTGTTTTCAGAAAGAAAACAAGGGGAAGAGCTATCCAGGCTGGTAAGGGAGTCAGTGGCATGGTTAGCAACCTGCAGCACAGCACTTGTAGTCTTGCACTACTTTGAGAGGTGTCTGTGAGACACAGCAGCTCCCTAGAGCTGCCAGCCCTCAGCAGCTGCCTCATGTGGGAAAAGCACCAGGAGGGCAAGGAAGGAGAGACAGCACAGGAGCTTCAGCTGCTGTTTACAGTGCTTCTGCAGGGATTTCTCTGGAGCCATCTAATGAGCTTGGTAACCACTAACTGAAAGCAGTCTTTCCTAACTGCAATTTATTTTCACTCTTCACAGTGTGTAATTGCTGGGCTGTATGGCACATCTTACTCACCCGGTTATTTTTAACATGAGCAAGATACTACGATTAGGCTACAGGTGTACTGATATTTGCCATCCGTAACACAATTTAAATAGCAAAGATACCAGCTGCCTCAATGATATAATTTAAAAGACTGAAGTGTGTATATCACACTTTTTTAATGCTAAATGCAAACGACAAAAATATCAGCAAAACTGATGGTATCAGGCAGTTCTGTCATTTTTAAGCATGAATGATGCATGAATCATACCATAAACCTCTTGATCTGTGGTACCCTATCACTAAGGTCCTGTTGAGCAAATGTCAGGGATAATTCAGCTTCTAAGCCAATTGCAGTGGAAAGCAGGGATCATATCAAGACCAATTTGGAGCAGATTAATGAAAAAAGGCTTAATGAACCGTGTACCTCTCAAAGAATGCTTGTAAAATCCACCCCTAATGAGGGTGGGGAGATAGAAAAGATTGTGAAAAACAAGTCAGGACCATTAACCCTGGGGTATTACAAGATCTTTTAGAGTCTAATTCTTGTCACAAGGTCAAGCTTTTACAAAGCAATTATTAAAGATCTCCATAGCATCAACATATGGACACATACACATACCCAAAGCTTTTTAACCTCAGGGATTCTGGACTCATTTCCCCTCCACACTGGCCATTTGTTCACTGATTATATAGACCATGATGAAGATAACTTATACTCCTGGCTAAGGACCAATTTTGCTATTAGCTCCTTTAGAATTGCCGAGAATTGCAGTGGGAGTTTTGCTGGTGCTGGAACTGCAGAGTTTGGCTCATGAATTAGGGGATTCCTGAGGATTAGTCATTTTGCAGAGGTCAGCCAGGCATTTTTTATTTTTGAGGGCAATGTGCAGCTTTGAAGAAATCAATGCTTTTGGTGTTGACTCTTGTGAAAAAGCAGCACTAACAGGGCCAGTCATGTAGAACATGCTCATCTTCCATGGTAGGTATTAGATCCTATTGTGGTCTTCATCACATCTTCTCCAGAAGACATCATTGCTATTATGAACGAATGACACACATTATGAAACTGTGAAAATATTTTTACACTTGAGTCAACTGCCAGTGCGTCACTGTATGCTGAAGTTTAATTACCTATGCAAGTTTAACTAAAGTTTGTTAACTTTCCGTGGAGGGAGAGAAGAATTGAGGCCAACCCTCATGGTGCCAAGTCTGGACAATTGGAGCCAAGCCTGAAAAATGTTCTTGAGCAAGTGTGTGAAACTACTTGGGAGATAATCTGCTCCTGGCCAGGAGCAGCAGAATACCCTGCTGTAAAAGATCTTGCCTACCAAGGTCTTTCAGTAGTCCAAAATTAAGTACTAAACAGTACCTCTTGCTGCTCATTGGGGAGCACTCAGGACACCTTCTAGTGAATCAGATTTCCAGACCTTGTACATGCGTTTTTCAGATGCTTACTGCAGTCAAAATATCAAGAGACAAAACCATCCCAATGACTTATCTAACACAGAAGTGGAATAAATTCAATGTATACCACGAAAGGATAGATACAAATAGCATTACCTGAGCTATGGAAGCTTGAGGGTTTCCTACGAGATTTTTAAATGTACGCTTGGATACCCACTTCAGCTGATGAAGGAAGGAATTGGCATATGTGATCTGTCGGAAAACTGCTTTCGATTTCTTTTTCTTTCCCATATAAATATTCTCTAGTATTGCTTTTGTTTCTTGGTAGTAGGCTGAGTTGGAGTATTTTTCTGCTAAATTCTCAGCCAAGGTTTTATCATATTCATGGTGTTCTTCAGTGCTCTCTGCTGAAGAAATCAGAAGGAAATATGACCGTTTATGTAAGGTATGGGAAGACTGTTTAGGAGTTAAGCCAGAAGAGTTATGTTGGGATGGGAGAGTTACTAATGAACCAGGAGCATTAATATACATATTTAGTTTCAGTGATTCATTGCACTCTGTCTCATAGCATGCAATTTGAAAGAGTCAGTATAAGTAAGACCAAACCTCTGTGTTTGTCCCACAGGCAGTGGCTTCACAGCAGGCTGACTAGGTAAACCCTTGTCAGCTGATGAAGTTTCAAACTGGCAACAATCTGACTTTTAATCAAAAAGTTATCTTCCCGCCCTCCCGCCCCTCCGGTTTCTGTAAGTGATCTGTTTCACAGATCTGATGAGATAAAGCTACACCTCCCAGACTTTTAGATCCAGGTAATCCTGCATGTGCCTACTTCAGTCAAACTTCTGAGTCTGTTGTAAAGAAATTTCAGCTGGAGCTCCTTTTTTTCTCAACTGTAGTCCAGTGTGTGCATTTCAAATGACAAAAACAACATGTTGCCCCCTATAATATTAGTCAGAATCTGAACACAATTAGCATTTTTGTAAAATGCTGGTTGCTTCTTTGACAAAGATACAGTGAAACTGTGTGTTTGGGAACGTAGCATGTTCATTATTTTCTTTCCCTTTTCATTCATGTGAAAAGAGAGTGTGCCATTAATGAGTAGCAACAGACAGGATGAAGAAGCATGCTACTGAACATAGGTGAGATTTGATTTGTTAGTTCATGGATAGTTTCTGCCTTACCATGACTTCAAGGAAGCATTAGAACATTGGGCCCATATCTCTACCCCCTTTTCCTACCCTACTTAGAGGAAGGAAAACAGTAATTTCATAACAGATAAACCATTCCATTATGTAAAAAAATACAAGTCATAACTGCATCAAATTATGTTCCTAACTGGAGCAATTGTCCTGTTTTAATGTCTCCGTTTCTGCAGGACTTCAGTTGACTTGCCTTGAAAATGAAAGAAGCTCCTTCTCTGTGTTTTTAGATAACAAAACTGTTTCTTATATTCCCAGACATTAAAATTTCAACACAGGAAAAGGTTATTTTACCTTTAACACCTTGTAATTTGAGTGTGACACAACAGTATACAGGTCAGTTTATGACTGACTTACCCAGAAATGGATAGCAATGATAAATTACTAAATACCTATTTAGGAGAGACAAACTATTCTTGCACAGACAGGAATATTTTATATAGTAGGGCTCTGTGTGAATTTGGTACTTATTTTAGGTTATGCTAATTATTTTCCACATATAAGCAAAAAGGATTTAGGAACAGTGTGTTGGGGTTTTTTACCTTTAAAGCAACATGCTCAGCTGTATGTAATACTCTCATGCATACAAATAACCATACACAAGCATGTACAACACGTTTATGGGTTATGTAACAGCTGTGATTTTTCTCTGTTGTGCTGAACACCTTCTGGCAAAATGCATGTTGTGATAATTTCACTTAGCTCTGTATTTCATACCTGTGTTAGTTTCGTCCATCTTGCTCATTGCCACTGCAGTGGAGTCTCCATTAATGATGTCCAGGAAAAAGTCAGCAGGGTTGTTGTACGGCTCGCACATGTAGCCTGTGGTGACAGCATGACAAGCCCTATGTGGTGGCTGTGTGACTGGTAGAGGGCTGTGAATGGCCATCGTGAACACAGCCACATCATTGTGCCAGTTGAGCAGCCTGCACCACAAGCATTGTAGTCTTCAAAAGGTCCATGCCTCCCCAAGAGATGAATGGCACTGCCAGACAGCTCTGTCAGTGAAAGCCAGGTGACAGCTGTCAATGTGCCCTGGCTTGGGCTTTGTCTGATTAAGATGTGCCCAAGAACAGATGAGTAGAGGTCAGCCCTAGCATCCATACCCACATATGGGTCAGGAGGTGAAACACCAAGAGAAATGCTTAGCCTTTTAAAATCATGGGCTTGCTAATACACACATTTTACAATTCTGATCAACTGCTATTGGCATTTTTCTTAGGTTAGCACAAACTAAAGATGTTGCTGCAGTTGTTCCAGCTATGAGTTGTGCTCACCGAGAGACTGGAAGTAGTCGATGGCATGCTGAGCAGGCCCGTGGTACAGCACTCTCCCAGCGGCTAGCAGTGTCAGGTTGTCAAACAGGCGGAATATGGAGTACCGAGGCTGGTGGATGGAGAAGATGATTGTTTTTCCTTGTTGTGCCATCCTGAATGTGAAGAATGACATGGATGTTAGCTTTGCAAGTTGTTTCAGCATTTAGATAAGAGAATTTGCTAGTTAAGTCTTGGTTAAGTTTGATTCATTTGGCATGCCAGAGAGGGGAGTAGGAAGGAAAAAAAAGAAAAAGAAAAAAAAAATATTTACATCCCATTTATAGTGTTAGTGTGAGAAAAGAAAATTTCCTCTCGCTGGTAATGTGTTTGGAGGGGAAGGTCCTGGGAAGATTTTTATGTAAACAGAAAGCTCTGGAGAGATGTGTTTGCTCTTTACTTATAATAAATGTGAAAATTATGTAAACCTCGCAAGTCGAGAGTGTGTTGTGCTTGTTTTCCGAAAAGTAGGCCTTAGATTTTGTGATGGGGAAATAGCTAGCGATGTTATAACTACCATCCATATGAAAATCCGTCACCTTACCAGACTATATAACAGGCATTTTTATCACCTTTCTGGCCCAGGCAGACATTAAAATAAATATTCATAACTAATGACACAGCTATCACAGACACATTGCAGTCCTGACATGCATGTGCTTCATGCAAGGCACTTCATGTACTGCTGTGAGTACCTGCTTTGGACTGAGAGAATTCATACAGGCTTTTTCCTACCTCCTTTTCAGCCTTGGTTTCCTGGTAAACAATTACATGTCTGATTTCTCTGTTTGCTCATTCTAACTGTAATTTAAGTCATATATAACTGAAATGTAGCAAAGTTGAATGGTGAAAACAGGAAGCTGTTTCCATCACCTTTTCAGCAGCAGCAAGACAGTGTTAGCAGTACTGGCGTCGAGTCCCGTAGTTGGCTCATCCAAAAACAAGATGGCAGGATCCATGATGAGTTCCATCCCAATATTGGTCCTTTTCCGCTCTCCTCCAGACACCCCACGAGTGAACTGAGTACCAACCTGCCACAAAACAGGAAATATGTCTCATTTGGCCTGATAATGAATACTTGAGTAAACAGGATCCTACTGCCATGGGAGCATTTGGGAAGAGTTGTAAGACATTTTGACAATAGATTGTTTCTTAACGTTAGTATTACTTGAGTTGTTCTCTTTTTCTCCAACTGCAGACTACCTTTCCCTTCACCACAATGTAACAGCGTATGATAGTATCACTGCAGAGTCTGTACAGATCGTCATACAGAAGTTCTATTAATTATTGCCTTACTGAAATAGTCTATTTAATTTAACTTTATTTTTATCTGCCATGCTGAGCCATTTGGTTAATCAAATAAATCATGTAATGTTTGTTCATGGTTTAAGCACCGTATTCACATGCCTTACCTTGGAATCTGCCACTTTGCTCAAACCCAGTTCCTTGATGATCTGATCCACACGTTCATTTTTTTCCTGTTCTTTCACTGACTTTGGCAAACGGAGCGCTGCTGAGAACTTCAAATTTTCTCTTATAGTCAGGGTTCCCATCACCACATCATCCTTCATAGAAAAAAACCCAAACAAGTAGATACTTGTCACTTAGCAATTTGTATTTTTTCCTCTGAGAACTGCATCTGGCTGTATTTTGTGTTGTCCTTGCATGCAAAGGCACAGTAGCAGCTTCCAGAACATGTGGTAAGGTTCATCTTCAGTGTCTGTGTCAGAGCAGACTGCTGATTGCATACGTGTAATTCTATTTGCCTTCATTCATAAAGCAACACAATATAGGAACATCCTCCATCATGCATGATATCAAAATGCATAAATAACAATGTATTGAAAACTAACCCTCATGTATTCTTAACTTACCCAGTTTTTTGCAGATGTTGCGTGAGATACTGAAGGGCTAAAGGGATCTAAGGAGCAGCTACAGCTCAAGTCATTACCACTGTGCATTATCACTGTTTATACAGCCTCAGCCCACCACAGGTAAGAGCAGGGAGAAGAGAAGAAAGAAGAGAGAGGCTGGGTCCATGTAGGGTAGGGTGGAGGTTCTGAGCTTGTTTCAACAAAAGAGGAAGGAGTGTAGGTTTTTTAGATGTTAGTTGTTCATCTCTTGTGAAAGGAATCTCTCAGGTGTAGAAAGTACAGAGAGTTATGTGCATTCTGAGAGACTAGCTTTCTGTAACATGCTGACCATACTTTTATAAGGGGTTTTCATAGGTACGCCTCCTTAGGTTTTGATAAACTGCAAGCATACTGCTGAGCATGAGCAGTGAGGAGGGGAAAGAAATGGAAAGAGGGATGTGGTTTTCCTTCTTTTGGCTTTCACATAACTCTCCCAAGCCCACCCTGGCAGGACAAAGGTTTTCTCAGGAATCACAGAATCATTAAGGTTGCAAGAGACCTCTAAGATCAAGTCCAACCGTCAACCTAACACCCCCATGCCTACTAAATCATGCCCTGAAGTGCCACATCCACCTGCTTCTTGAACACCTCCAGCGATGGTGACTCCACCACCTCCCTGGGCAGCCTGTTCCAGTGACTGACAACTCTTTCAGTAAAGAAATTTTTCCTAATATCCAGTCTAAACCTCCCCTGGTGCAACTTGAGGCCTTTTCCTCTTGTCCTGTCACTAATTACATTTAAGAAGAGACCAACACCCACCTCTCTACAACCTTCTTTCAGGCAGTTGTAGGGAACAAATAAGGTCTCCCTTCAGTCTCCTTTTCTCCAGACTAAACAACCGCAGCTCCCTCAGCTGCTCCTAAGACTTGTTCTCCAGAACCTTCACCAGCTTCTTTGCCCTTCTCTGGACACGTTGCAGCATTTTAATGTCCTTTTTGTAGTGAGGGGCACAAAACTGAACGTAGGATTCGAGGTGCAGCCTCACCAGTGCCGAGTACAGGGGAAGGATCACTTCCCTACTCCTGCTGGCCACACTATTCCTGATACAAGCCAGGATGCCATTGGCCTTCTTGGTTGCCAGGGCACACTGCTGGCTCATGTTCAGTCAATTGTCAACCAACACTCCTAGGTCCTTCTCTTCCAGGCAGCTCTTCAGCCACTCTTCCCCAGGCCTGTAGCGCTGCATGTGGTTGTTGTGACCCAAGTGCAGGACCCGGCACTTGGCCTTGTTGAACCTCATACAATTGGCCTCAGCCCATTGATCCAGCCTGCCCAGGTCCCTCTGCAGAGCCTTCCTACCCTCAAGCAGATCAACACACTCACCTAGTTTTGTGTCATCTGCAAACTTGCTGAGGGAGCACTCAATCCCCTCATCCAGATCATTCATAAAGATGTTAAACAGGACTGGCCCCAAAACTGAGCCCTGGGGAACACCTCTTGTGACTGACCACCAGCTGGATTTAGCTCCATTCACCACAACTCTCTGTTGTTGCACCAGCCTCAATTCTTGGATCAAGGTGAGGTACTTGCTACGCTGTAGAGACTGCCTACAACTACAGTAAGAAGGGGACAATAAAATACACAGAGTGAGTCATGTACCTGTACTACGTATCCAGAGGTGCATTTAAAGTTGGCAGGCTGAGGAGCTCCATTGATCAAAATGTCACCAGAAAGCCCATGGGGATCCTTCCTTGCAGCCAAAATGTCAAGTAGGCTAGGAGAAAAGTTGGTTACTGTGTCAGATGAGCATGCAGGAGGTAAGTTCTCTGAACAGCAAACCCAGCTGATGGAACAAGCAGCTATATACAACCATCCCATGTTAAACATTTGCTATTTAGAAAACCTCCAGCAACTCTCAAAGGCCAAGTTTATTTTGTCTTCGTTTCCTAAGGAAATGAGAGCTGCACAATTTCACGGTGCAATTGTCCCCATTCATTCAATAACATAAGCTTAACCTAGAATGATACGTAAAGATAGTGTACCAGTGGTGTGTGGACTAAAACTGGATTACATCTTTGTTTTGCAAGCTTACTGTCCTTTTTGAATTTAGGTATTTCTCAGACACCAGTGAGATTTGCACAGACCTAAATGAAAACTAAATATTTCCCTAAAAACACTGTTCATTACTGATAAATATGTGCAGGTTCATTTTCTCCTTGGTGTAATTTCTGTGTAGAGCAAAGAGGGCACTTACGAAGATTTACCACTGCCAGTGGGTCCCAAAATTGCATTCAGTCCTGGTCTCATGATGCCACTGTAAGGCAAAACAGGTAGGTTTTACAAAATAGATAGGGTGTTTTTATCTCTCTTACTGTTTCATCTGGTAGCCTAGTTGAAATTATCTGTGGAACTACCTTCTGCATCCCATTAATTTTGGAATTAATTAAGGTGCCTGATCACAAACAATACTTATGATCAAACTCCACTTTATTTTTTATTCCTAATTCAAGAAGAACTTGCTGGAACATGTGAAGGCATCGCTGCTATTTCTCCTGACTAGGTCCTGAAATCTGTGCTCAGCAAGCTTTGATGCACACAAGAGCACAGTGTACAAATGTCTGTCCGTATGTTATGATACCAGGTTTATCTTGAACTGCACTCTTGTACTGGTTCTAATTGGCAATCCAGGTAGCAGTGATCTGAGTACCTGGCTGTGGGTCTGGCCCAGTTCTTAGAGTGTAATGACATGCAACCTAGGAGGTTTGGTTTTGCTGTTTCTGATGCATATTTGTTCTTCTTCAGTTTCTTACTGTGGAAATTTCTGGTTCCACAGATTAAGCAGCACACAAATTATATATACGTTATGTTACGTTATATATGATTTTAACACAAAACCAATGTGTAATGAAACAAACAGAGATGATGCATTTTCTGAAAGGGGAAAGCACAGTGTTAAACACTGGTCTTGTACTATAAACCACAAGATGGGCCTTCCCCTCGCGTTGTTGCAAACGACTGATGTAGGTCAACTGAGTTACCATAACATAAGACTCTCAAGGAGAGTAAGAATGATTTCAAGAGCTCATGTTTAGGAGGTGTGGAAGTTGTGTATGACAAAAGAAATTACGTGAGCAAAGAGCAAGACAGAGCTACAAAAACACAACACATTCACACAAAAGGGTGAGTATTTATGACTGAATTTGGAGTTAGGGAGCTGAAAGTCATGGTTGACTTGAAATGGCATGTTGTATGAGTACATGCCTCTCAGCTTAACTACTGAACTGTGAATGGGCAAACTTTATGCATAGATTATTGAACAAAGGCCATAATGTCGTGATTCCTTTACTGCTGTAGTGCTCAATGTTGGAAAAAACCACAAAAACGGAAACAACAAAAAAAAAAAGAAGAAATTTTGCATCTCTTCAAAGTTAACCTAACCCTGGTTAGGGAAGGAAATGAAAACATAAAGGACAAGCTGTTGATATCTCAGTTAAACACCATGTCACAGTGGGAGACTTGCCAGGTGACTACAGCTGGCTCATGTGCCCCCGTGCTAATAGTGGCCAGGAAGGCTGTCCCTCCCTGGGGCCAGGGGAAATGGTGCCCACCAGCATGACCTCTTTGTTGCACAGACTCCACTCTAACAGCTTTGGATGACCCAGGCCTAGCAGGAAACTTAAGCACAGTTGACAGCAAACATGAAGCAACCGTACAAAAATCTAATTTTTATAAATCTTTATCAAATTCTGTATATTGTGCTTAGTGGCTTAGTGACATGAGTGGACTTAGCTGTCCAGACAGAAATAAAACATACACATACTCTAAAGAGATCTTTAAATACTTACTTGACATCTCTCAAAACTTGCTTATTGGCTGTTTTTTTACAACACAGGAATCCAGTCTTCATCTTCACATGGTAGCAGATGTTGTGGAAAGTTAGTATGCTTCCTCTGCCAGCTAAGTCTGGAGAGGACTGCTTTATGCTGGGGATGCCATTTGTATTCGAGTTTGACATCTGAATGCTTAGGTGTGGCTGGCCTTCTGCCATTTTTCCTCTATAAATGAAAAAACAGCACAGGGAGGAGAGGAGTTGATTAGGTATGGAGAGGAAATACTTGTCTGTTGGGTCCAGTGCTTGACACGGGATCGACTGTGCGCCTTGAAGATGTCCATCTTGGTCTCTGTCTTTCAGATAGGAAGTTTGGGTTCTGTGATTGAAAAACTTCTGGGTCAAGATAAGGACAGAGAGATTGCTCACCAAGTACTCTCATGGACCAAACAGACTCAATTTGGGGAAGATTAATTTAATTTATTGTCAATTAAAAATAGAGAAGGGTAGTGAGAAACAGAAACTAAATAAAATGACCTTCCCTGTACTCCTCATTCTTCCCAGGCTCAGCTTCTTCTCTCCTGCCTCTTCCACCCTGTTCTCCAAGCAGTGCAGGGAGCTGTGGTCAGTTCATAATGCTTTGTCTCTGCTGCTCCTTCTTCATCACGCTTTTCTCCTGCTCCATTATGGGGTCCCTCCCACGGGACACAGTCCTTCATGAACTGCTCCATTGTGGGCCTTTTCCACAGGGTGCAGTCCATTAGGAATGGGCTGCATCAGTGTGGGTCCCCCATGGGGCCGCAGGTCCTGCTAGGAGCCTGCTTCAGCCTGGGGTCCTCTCCATGGGCTGCAGGGTGGTTAGCTGCTCCACTGTTAGCCTCCATGAGCTGCAGGAGGACAGCTAGCCTTACCAAGGTACTCTCCAGGGGCTGCAGGGGAATCTCTGCTCTGGCGCCTGGAGCACCTCCTCTGGCTCCTTCTTCACTGACCTTGGGGTGTGAGAGTTGTTTCACATTTTCTTACTCCTCTCTCACAGCTGCTGCACAGCATTTTTTACCCCTTCTTAAATAGCTTCAGGAGGTGCCACCAGCATCACTGACATGCTCCGCTTTGCCCAGTGGCAGATCCACTGCAGCCAGCTGTGTCCAGCAAGGGGCAACCTCTGTTCCTTTCTCACAGAAGCAACCCGGAGAGCTCCCCCACTGCCAGCACCTGGCCACAAGCACTGACTGCATCTGCTTTTCTACAAGGTTCCTCTTCCCAGCAGGCACTAGCATAATATTATGCTCTTCCTGGAGGGCTGCCCCGGGTATAGAATCACAGAAGTTTGGAAGGGACCTTTAAAGATCATCTAGTCCAACCCTCCCTGCAGTAAATGGGCATCTTTAACTAAAGTAGGTTGCTAAGAGCCCCATCAAGCCTGACCTTAAATGTCTCCAGGGATGGGGTCTCCACTACCACTCTGGGCAACCTGTTCCAGTGTTTCACCACCTTCACAGTAAATAACTTCTTCCTAATGTCTACTCTAAATCTACCCTGCTCTTGTTTAAAACCAGTACCCCTTGTCCTATCACTCCATGCCCTTGTAAACAGTCCCTCCCCAGCTTTCTTGTAAGTCCCCTTCAGGTACTGGAAGGCCTGTACATAAACTGCACACTTGCTGGAAACCACAGGCACAACAGGTGACTTACAAAAGACTAGCTCAGAATTATCAAGGGCCAAAAGAACCTTGCCTTCTGCCTGTCTGCTTCATCAGACTTCTTTCTAGTTTTGAATGTGCTTAGAGTAAGTTTATTAGATACTATTTTAAAGAGGTGTTTTGAAAGTAAAGATACTTCTCTTACATCTAGCATTCCTGTGCAATGATAACAAAATAAAAAATGGTTGTTTTATTTTTTTAATCAAAATAATTTTGCCAAGGGTATAGGAACATGGAAACTGACACCGCTGACAAGTAATTGTCTTCTTGGATTTGCTTTCCATGTAAAATCTAGAAGGTAGTAGAATAACTAAAGTTACCTCTCCCCTGTTGTCAGCCAGGCTCCTGCCTGAAGCCATTTGCCTGCACCCTGAGGCATCCCTGGCTGTCCTTGTGCATGCAGACCTTTGTCCCCTTTGCACTTTCTAAGCGGTACAGGGTAGTTGAGGTGAGAGGCAAAATCTGGCCTCTCTTTATATGTTATATTGACTCATCAGAGTCTAATTACTTCAATTGTCACTAGGGGAAATGTTAGTAATGCAGTAGTTCGTGGGAACTGAGAGGGGAAATAAGCAGCTAGGAGCTGTGGGATGATCAGTCCCATATCTTAGCATAGGTAAGGAAGAAGGCAGGTTATGAGACCATTTCAGACACACTGAATGAATTTGAGGGTAGTTAATAAAGTAAGCCTTGCAAAAAAAGCTGTTTAATGCAGTCATATGGTCGCATAAAGAATGAAGACCTTATCTTGTCGGTTTGCTAAGATTGTTTGACATACAGCTGAATTCTCCTTTGTGGATATCACTGCAGTGAAACCACTGGCAGCCCCACTTTCAGCAGCAGCCCTATCTGCATGTAAAGGCCCGTTCATCTGTCTCTCAACAACATTATCCCAAATCTAGCCCAAGGTTGCCTCTTCTGACAAAACTGTAGTCTTCCGTGCTGGCAAAAATATAAGGTCTTAAAGTTTAAGTAATCCATAATCTTGGCCCAATTTTCCTACAATGAAAGTAAACTTTTTTCCAAATATAATTATAATGGGACTAGCTTTAATTTAAGCTAAAATGGATTTTGAGTAAGTTGAACATCAATTAAATGTGTCGGATTTAAAGACTGGAGGCCTTTTATTGGTAAACAGCCTATACTTTTCTCTACTTGTGCCAAAGAAGACTTCTTTACCTGCAGGAGACCAGCTGGAAGGCTATTTATATAGTAGTTTCTGAGCTAATCTGTCTGGACATCAGTCACTACCATTTGAAAGGATGTTTTGGTAAAGTAGACATGCGCAGTCAGAACTGCTGTGGGAACTTTTAACTTAAAAGTCTCACCATACACTGAGCAGACATTTGCTAGCATTCTGAGCAAGGTACCAAACGCTCTACCACAGAGTCAATGCCACAGATGATAGACATTACAAAATCCCTTGAACTGTTCAATAACCAGAAGCAAGGTGTGAGTGCAGAATTCATCAGAAGACAGCGGTACTCTGACCTTGATATATCACAAGGTAGCTAGATAAGTATCAGATTTTTTTTGTGTGCTTTTAGTATTACTAATGTAATGGTATACTCATACTAAACAGAGTACGTGCAAATGGGGGAAGATTGAGTTGCAGTCTGATATCAGGCATTATCAAGAAAATATTTAAATTCATAGTTTCATTTGGGTTTGTTGGGTTTTTTTCCCAAAGACCAGCATAAAAACCTAATAGCATTTGCACTGAAATTTCAGAAATGCTCTCTAGAAAACAATTTTTTTCATCTAGGAATGAAACAAGTCCAGTCTTCTAGACTTCTTCAGTCTTCAGTCTTCTAGACTGAACTTGACTGGCAGACAAGCAGCATAAGATCATAAACTATTTTCATAAATACAGGATCACACTACAGAGTTGTGTACAGATCAGATCAACACAATCAGATACAGATCAACACAGAGTTGTTCTGAAGAACAAACAGTACATCAAAGATAAATTTACTTTAACAATCAGGTTATGATTAGATTGTACACATCTTTGCAATAAACATTGCAGAAGCTAGAGAAATAAATCAGCTACGAGAGGGATTAGACACATCCATAGCAGACAGTCCCTCAATGGCTATATAATAGACCTGTCAGCCGGCAAGCTCCAGTTCAGGAAGGCCCGGGCCCAACGATTGCCCAAATCTGCCAGAGAAAAGTAATATTCATTGATACTGCCCCTTGCCAAGCAGACAATGGTTACTGGCAGCTATAGGTAGAGACTGAATTCATGTTTAGCTGGACCTCTAGTGTAAATCAGCATGGACCCTCACAGCTGCAGTGGGCTTGTGCTGCTTGCAGTGACAGAGTGTGATGCTGTAGGTGGAAGACATGGATTTCCCTGTGTGCTGTTCCTCCTGCTGGCTGCCCTTTCAGGAGAAGATGTATTTGTAGGCACATGCCACTTATCAGAGTAAAAAACCTCTATTTTAGATGTTAGGTTAATACAGAAAATAGCATTTTACACTTTCAGAGCAGCTCTAATTTATTGCAGAAAGAAACTGCAGAATACTCATTCGCTTAAAACTTTAATGGCTATTTATCAGTTGCTTTATGAAATCTGTGTTAGCTGTCTCTCTTCTGAAAGTAATTGTTGCGAAGACTCTGTCACAGCAGCTCCTTGGGGTGCCAAAATGACAGAGTTCTGGACATACTAGTGGGAAAGGGCCTTGGGAAGTCCCATAACCCAGCTTCTCTCTCCGAGTGGGACTGTCACCGACGTGAGATTGGGGCAGCCGTGGCTTTGCCTGGGTGACTCATGGAAATCCCCAGGAGTGGAGATTTGGATCTCAGCTAACAGTGTGATGAAAGAAGATGAAGTGCTAAGAGTGGAAATAACACCTGTGTGCTAGTATGAGACTTTTGATTTGCTTTGCTTTTCTTTTCTGGATACTTTTTTTTCACTATGGGGTAAGTACTTCCAGTGAGATGAATGGTTTGGTATTTTACAAACCAACCTTTCAATTTCTGATCTAGCAATAAACTGCACCATAGGAATACAGGGGCATGCTCCTTTACAGGTACTGTAGTTGTCAGATGTTTGCAATTGGTCCTTAGAAATGGATTTTTAAAATATTGCTATAGGCCTTGTTTTTAAAAAAAGACATTTATTGCATTTAATGTGACATACGGCCACAAAACATTTTAAGTCAGAACATGTGCAGGACAAAGAAATAACCATGATAAATGGTAATCAAATAATTTCCTACACAAACTAAAATTCTTTAAATTAGGTTTCCTAGAATTCATTGACAATGGCTACAAATACCTACCTTAGTTTGGAAATAAGCAGGAGACTCAATGACAGTATGTACTGCCTGCTGTATTCAGAAATATTTGTTAATATGATAAAGCTTTTCATCACATCAGCTCTGGGTATAATACATTATTTTTGCATCAGCTAAATGTAAAATTTATTAACTCACTGGGAATTGTACAAATTTAATTTATTTCCCTAAATCTTTCTAAAATATTTTTATTGCCACTGATTTCAGCATTGCTT